GAACAAATGATGGAAAGGAGCGGAAGACATGAACTTCCATGGTAAGAATAACGTAAGGGCTACTAAGAGGATCAAGTATGTTCTCCATAATTGTTTTGTTTCCTCTGTGAAGCAAAACTTGCATTAGCTAGCTTGTTTTATGAGCTGCCACTGGAGGTAATAGTGATGAACCTTACCAAAGGGGAGGAAAATAATGCTCTTGCTTCAGAGGTGCAAAGAGTAGCTCATGTCCAGGCTAAAGCACTGCACCAAATGCTTCAAGGAGCCAGGGACCTGTTGCCAAGGCACTGCCATGTAATGACAGATGGGGGAGAAAGTCTATGCCAAGAAGAGTTGGCAGGTGTGGGACTCAGGTAGACATACCACAGTGGAAATTACATGATTTCTGATTAAAAGGGCTTTGCCTTTCATGTATCTTCAAAGGTATCTGAAGCTCAATTGTGTCATAAGCAACGATGGTTCATTTTCATTACCTAGACTGAATGAGAGATCTTTAATCAAACTGTGTTGCATTAGAGACAGTTCTGCTGTTTAACCATAAATATTTGGGTGTGCAATCTGGTGCTGATCTGCAAGGTTACTAATATCTATAAAATAAGTAATCCTTTTTTATTTGCATCATCTACCAAGTTGTTTCAGCTTCAGCTTATTAAGCTTGAGCTTAGATCGGAGGTGATGCCCTTGATATAACAGGGCACACAGACTCCTGTTACGTTGAATATATTCAGGATATATTGTTTCTGCTACAATTCCCAGACATTTTCTTAGCCAAGTTTTAACACAAGCCCACTAAATATATGCTTCTTTAAAAAAGTAAATCTCTACAGTCTGTTCTCAGCTTTCTTTTACTTTTCTCATAATATCAGGCCCACACATAGCCCAGATTCCTCAATGGTAGCTCATGAAATTTTTCCACCTTCTTGTGCTATATATATTCCTATGTCCTGAGCAGCAGCCTGTGTCTGTGTTTTGAGTACAGACTGCTGTTATTTTAGATATCTGCCTCCATAAAGGAGCATCACTGTTTCTTATATGTCTTCATAATGAGATTTTTTTTCACTATTTTCACAGAGGTTTAACCTCATTTTGAAAATGAGGTTGTTCTTTTTCTCCAAGTTAAATAACTGTAACTGTAACTATCTATGTATCTATACATATATACATACATAGATACATACATATATATATATATATAAAGTTGGGAGTCAGTCCACCAGGGCCCATATGTATTTCTTGGTACATAGCAGTTGAAGTAAAAAGCCTTATTCACAGGAGGGGCTCTTAAATGTGTGCCCTCTTTTTAAGCACCTACTGAAGAAAAGTTTCGTGTGCATGTCCACACTTTTCTCAATGGGGATGCATTGAAGAACAGGCTTATTTCCTGGAATCAAAAACCTTGACTGAAATATCACTGCCTGGATCACTTGCTGCTTGCAAGGCTGATAGCAGCAAGGGGATATAAACCATAGCTCATACCAGCCTCACCAGGAATACAAAGACATGTTGTATGTAATCATACAACATGTCGTTCCTTGGGTGAGATCATGTGTTCAAGTATCCTGCCTTCATGCAGTGGAAGCATCAAGCTGAAGGTCATGGGTCCCAGAACACAGCTGTGATGAAGCAAATCTACATTGTGACATTCAGTTTTGTTATATAATTAGAGCATTCAATTATAGACTGGAAGACATACTTAGACTGTATTAGAATATTCTCTGATGTAAATGAGGTTGGGTTAATTCACTATAACAGGCCGGGCAGTGACAAGAGGTGGAGATAAGCTCCCAGCACTAACTCAGGACAAAATTAAGCAAGTGGCATGCTTGCCTGCCCTGCCCTGCCCTGCCTTGCCTCCTCCCCACATTCTGGTCCTGCAGCCACAACCGCCAGCTCCACACTGAGAGCCCCCACCAGAGAGAACAACTGGGCAATGCACACCTTTTGTTGTAATCTGCTAATAAATGACTTCTCATTCAGATTCCAGCTGCAGTTTTGCTCTTGCACAGGCTGTCGGCTGGGTGGAGCAGCTGCAAACCTTAGGAACAGCTAAGACTCTTGAACAATTTCAGTCGTTTTCTTGGAGTAATATTGGATTAATTTAACCTTTGAAAACAATAACTTCTGATACAAGACCTTGTCTCTCTAGACTGATCTGGCAGGTTCAGCCATAGCTTACATAAGCTGGAACATCAAGGCTTGTTTCGAAGAGAGAGGGAATATGAGCCAAGATGCAAATATGGACCCCTGTTTTCCTCTGAAAAATATTAATAGCTTTTCATTTTCCTCTTAGGCAGCGTTAAGCCACTCCTCTTAATGAGCAAAGGGTCCTTTATTTTTTGTAGATATTTGAGGAAATTACCATGGTATTATTGTTCCATAAGTCACTTTCAAAATATTGTAGATAGCACACTGAGATGGAAAGAGTGTGTGACCAGAGTGCACAACCTAAAAACCAACTGAGATTAAATGCAAGGCCACCAGGCACAATGTCTAAACCAGATAAATCAGGGTGACTGCATAGCTGTATTCTTGTTTTTCCACTGTACTAACTCATAGAGAGCACAAAATAAGCCTGTGTAGCAAAGACACGAAAAAAGGCACACTGGAAGAAATATTTATGTTGTATTAGCATATTCTCTGCTCTAAATGAGTTTGGACTAATTACTTATTAGACCACAATGGGATAAGCAGGAGAGATAAGCTCCTAATATCACATTAGGAAAAATTAATTAAACAGAATAAACATAATTTATTTGATTCTGCTATTTCCTATTTCAATTGCTTTACTTAGCAATCTCAGTAATGTTCTTTAACAAATTCTTTATTTATTTTTTTAAATATAAAAAAGATAGACAAATGAAAACAAGCTGGAAAGAGATGAATTTTATTCATCACGGTACCTCATTTTCCTTGGCAGACTAACAACTGCACTATCTGCACAGATTTCTGCTACTTGAGCTAATAGAGTGCCACTACCAGCCATGGGTTGTCATCCTCTGAGTAAAGCACTCCCAGAAGAAGATTGCTGATGGTCCCTGGTGAGAAACACAAACTGAGGTTTTGCTTGTTGGCTGGGGTGACAGGTAATCAGATGGATTCCAGATATAAGGTAACCCACTGTGTCTCCTCCAGCCTCTTGCCATCCTTGTCCTTTGCTTTCCCCACTTCATCCCAGGACCCCACATTCTCCTACAGGAAGTCACAGTAGATCCCAGCTCCTGATCTCCCAGTCTGGTTAGCTGTTTGCTCATTCCCCAGTATGACACTCTTTGCTTCCAATCTACCTGACTGGACCACCCTACCTCCCCAGTTCCTCCTCCTGACCCCATTCCTCATCTAGCACAGCTTTGGGATCCAGTATATCTGCCTGAGAATTTCTTCACAGTGCATTTGAATAACTGTCTTCTGTACTCTTGATTTGGACATCTAGGATGCTGGGACCAGAGCAGGGCAGACCCCTGCTTTCCTTTTGGTTGCCTAGACCTCTTACAGCTTATGGTAACAGATTCCCATTCATAGCAAATGAGACCTTTTAGGAAAGTTTGCTGTTGAAACCAAAGTCATCTTTATTAAACATGCACCATGAGCTTTCACATACTTATTTAATGAGGATAAAACCAACATGTCATTGACACAAAAGCTGTCTTCTATCAGATTTTAAGTCCTTGCACCAAACTTGCAAGATTTATCTTTTGTCACAGAAGACACCAGAATTTTTAACTGCAGCACATTTTCCCTAAAGCCTGACAGACACGTCAGACATGTCTGAGTTGTTTTACGCTAGTTTCCCTTGGGAATGTGTGTCAAGTAAAAAGTCCTGAACTATACAATTTCTTATTGTTTAGACAAGACAAAAACATTAATAAATTTAATCTCAGAAAAAGCATTCTAATATCTTTAGTGGCCACTATGCAGACTTTCATTCCTTAGAGAAGATAAGGCATGTCCTTGCAAACAAGAAAAATCAGATCTTGTTGTGCCAAGGCCTATGCTCTCTAAGTAGTTCAAGGTGATCAGTGTACAGTTCAGATTGTTACATAAAACAATTTGCAAAGATCAGTAAAAATTAAACACAAAATGACAGCTTTTTCAAGAAAACAAGACCCAGTGATAAGCCCCAAGGACTATGCTGAAATCATGGGCAGTAAAGATGAAAAATGTGAGACTAGACTCAGTGGGACTGTGACAGAGTAGTAGAGAGAAGACTCTTGGTCAAGTGTGAGAAGTATGACACTGATTATGTGGATTATTATACTTAGATTCATTGCTAATACAGTATCTAAATATTGCCAATGCAGTGTATAATATGATCAGATCTAAAGGGTTATAACATAACCAGGTTCAACTGGAAACGTGCAGGTTTAGAGCCTTTGGCCTTGCAGAAAGCACAATTACAAAGCAGCAAAGCACCTATGGAGCTACTTTAGGATTTTATCTCTGTATATGGCTGGATCTTAGTGCTTTTACTCAACCATCCAAAAGTGAGTGTTCCCATCTTAGGGCTGGATGTACGCTCCAGGCATCCCTGCTAGGGTAGGATCCATCTGGAAGCTGCCTGCAAACTTGGGAGATAATTGGCCTAGTCCACAGATGCATTTTTTACCCTTTCACAGGCCAATGTGTATCAAAGTCAATGACAATCATCACAGCTCCCCCATCTCTGGAATGCATTAATTATGTGACCATCCAGACAGTTCCTCCTGCAATTCCCACCTGGTGTTCTTATCTTAGGACAAACCACATTACCTAGCAGAGACTGCAAGGGAGAGGGGGTGTGTGAGGGCAGGATGTGCTTCGAGACCCAACTATCTTGCTTTACTGTCACAGGGACAAAATAGATATACTGTAGAGTAAGCCTCACCAATCAGCTAAATCGTGAGTGGATGGGCTATTCTTCCTCTCTGGTGCCCCCAATCTTGTGCTGCAAGGATGCCTAATTTGACCCAAACTGAAGAAAAACAGACAAACAGCAGAAGTGCAGCAGCTTGGTTTGTGTTTTTCCTTCCCTCCCTCGTTCTCTCCTTTTTCATTTGTGTTTTCCTTTGCTTTCTGTTTAAGAAAAACTTTCTTGAGATATTCTTGAGATGTCCTTTGGAGAGCTACCAAGACACTGTTAATAAACAGCTTCCAAAAAGCTGTGTTAGAGACAGCAGGATGTTGCTGCAGTTTCCATGTGTCTGTGTGACCAACAGACAATATGCTGTCCTGGAATTCTCCTAGCAGTGAATTTGCTGTTCAGCGTCAGCATCACAGAGAGAGGCTGAGTTTCCTTCCCCTGCAGCTCTGGTGCCCATACTGCCTGCCTCTCCAGGGAATGACTGGACTCCAACAACAGGTCTGGCAGAAGTTCCAGCCCATGTCAGTGAACTGAATAACTCTCTCTTCTGAAATAAAAAATCCAAAACTTTTTGTTTCTTACTGTGTCTTTAAGCCTGTTAAGCAATGGTATTTTCCTCACACAGACTTTTAACAGGAAACCAAAATTGGATTTTTTTTAACAAATGAAAGCCTTACTTTTCTTAATTCTGAATATTTTTATTCTTTTCACCCCCCTTATTTTTTTCTATCTTTATTAAAGGGTTTAAAAGATTTGGTGTGGCTTATGTTGCCACAGAAATAAAGAAGCATTTGAAATCTCAAACGCTATCCAAAACTTGTTTAGCAATATAGTTTTGTTACAGTGACACAGCATCTTTAATTCATTTGACCCTTTGGATCTTTTATTCTACTGAAATTTGACTCAGCAAAGTTAAATCCCCTTATATCATTCTGCAAGACAACTCATTTTATGTTTGGATACAAACAGCCAAAGGTGCACAATCAACTCGCCCCCAACATGCCAGTTTGCACTAGTGTGGCTGAATGGAAAAAGAAATTGTGGTGGCTTTATAGAAATGTACCTAATTTCTATGGGATGCTCAGTGAATATCAGAACAATAGATGGTGTATTAACTACTATGTCTGCTCTTTTTCCTTGGCATAGGTAATATTTTTATGTAAGGGGATGGCAGCCTACTCTCATTATATTAAGCAAAATTCTTCAACGGATACCATGAAGTAATAATTTTTTTTTTTTTAGCTTATTTTTACTTGGTCTTTAGGAAACTGTTCTGTAATAGCAAGCTCTGGAACAAAATCTAAAAAACAGGGAATTTTTTGTGTTTGAAATGTCTCTCCATATGATTGCAAATAATAAAATTATGGAAATATCTTATTCTCCAGTTACTCTATATCATCCAATCAGCATGATTTACTCTTCCCTCTTGCTATATACTTTTGTGTGCAGATTTTATTGTGTCTCTGTTTTGGTTTTAATATTTATATGTAATTATTATCAAGCAAAACAGAGAGCAACCAGTTTTTTAAGGATGTACTGGAGTGAACCACTACAGGCAAGTTATATTTATTTCCACGTTCAGGATATGGAAGGCTAGCAAGGGATACCTCTTTGCACCTAAATATTTTAAGTCCATTGGAAAAGAATTACAGGCTGGTCAAATAAGGTTTTTCTTATCTTTTTTTTTTTCCTTTCACCCCCATTTTGTGTTAAGATTAGAATCTGTTAAAAACAGCCCATTACCTTAAGCCTTAAAGCAGTTCTTTCCCTGTTGCAGAGAAATCTGCTTGAAATGTGTTCTGCCTTTATGATCTCCAGGCTCTAGCCTGGCCAAACAGATGGAGTGTTCCTACCTGGGCTGTCACTTTGTTTTCCTCTTCTCCCCATTGAACTAAACCTTGCTCCCTATGCAACTTGAGGGGAAGGACTTTTAACACAACATGAAACAACATCCTTGACTGAGCAGGTTACAGAGAGAGCCCAAAAGCTCTCAGTACTCTTCAGTTCCAATACACCAGCTCTCGTGGAACCCAAAGTGTAGGTGCACATCTGCCTTGTTTCCTTCCACTGCCTGATTACAGCATTTCCAGCCTCTGCCAAGATGGTGATGGCCACAGGACTGCAGCCTGAAGAGGGAAGGACTGAAATCCTGCTTTCACCAAGACCAACACGTACAAGAGAGGCAATCACCGGTTGCTTGTAAGTCTGAATCGCTCAAATTTCAGTAGCTTGAAATATCATTAACACAGTTTCTCTTTTTTCCTCTACCTTATGAAGTGGAAGAGACCCTTCTCTTTTATTAGAAATACTGGTTTTCTTCAACTCCCTCTATTGCCTCTAAAAGTCCTTAGGCATTTTTCTTAATATAACCCTGTGCCTCAGCTATGGCACATCATAGGCAATCAAATAAGAAGAGTGTGGTATATCCAACATGACTCCTGCATGGCTCTGAACTGACACAAGCCCGTGATGCTGTTGGGATGTGACTGCTATATGGCAGTCAGCACAGATTTCCCACCTAGCAGAACACTGGTGGGAAATCTTAAAGGCTGCAACAGGAATGCAGCAACATTAGGAAGAAGGCAGTCCAGTGTGGCAAAATGTGAGTAAAGGAATGAAAAGACTGAAATGGAATATTAACAGTAAATTATTGGAAGGTGAAGGCTCCTACTGTCTGCAGGTTCTGGAAAGGCAGATACTGATAACTGATGATTTTTTTTTTTTTTTGATAGAAAAGAATGCATGTAAGAAAAAATAGATAGGAAAATGAAAGAAAAAACATTAACAAATGCACACAAAACTGTCAACGGTGTTGGCCAGTGCCAAGAGCAGGAATCATTACCTTGAGCTATTTAGCATTCAGACCTGGGCAAAACTGTAGAAAATAACAAAATAGAAAAATTCTGCACTGGCTTATTGGATAACTATAAATAATTTAAAGCAACTTCTGTCTTATCTTTTACAAATCAGTGGACAACTGACTGCGCTGTTATGCAGAAAATGGTGGAATTTTTTAAGCTAATGTACATTTTTTGATCACTCCTATTTTCTGACTATGCTGTTATGCAGTTTTATCACAGCTATCTCCTTTTATCAGAAAACAGTGGGGGTTTTTAGGTTAATGTACATTTTTGACCACTCCTATTTTGGTTGTTAAATTTTCTCAAGGGAAAAGTTGTGTTCACTGCTTGATACTGGTACTATTCAGGTCTGGCTTTACATTAATTCTCAGTTTGTCACTCACCTGTGATTAATCAAGCAGAAACTTAGAAATAAAATTATGTATTTTGTAAAGGGGAACTAAGCTTTCAGTAACTGTGAAACTATGATTAGGAACACTAGGACAGACTGTCAGGAATTCCAGCTTGGTCTAGTTCTAGAACTTTGGTAGAGTTATGCTGAGCCATGTTTGCCAATAATCTGAGTTTTAAGTATCCTTGCTATGTTTTCCATAATACAGTTAAATCTCTGTAGGAGTAATAACTTCGGAAAACTTTGTTTTGGTCAATATCTGAAATGAAAATTATGTGTGTTGAAGGTGAGAGCAAAACACACCAAGTTATTACTTGAGACCAAGAAAAAAATTGCTACATTCTCATTATTTTAATCTTTTACTGGACAACAGTAATGGCAAATTAGAAATTACTTCTGAGTTCCAACTTCATTTTAATATTTAGGATATCTGCCTGCTGCTTATTTTGCGTGACATCTAATTACAACAGTATGTGAGATATCTCAGTCTTTGAGGTCCCTCACAACAGGCCCATGGGACGAGAAAATGCAATTTCTGTGCAAATGCAAACAGAGCTACATATTCGCTATTTTTCCCAGGGAAGTATGTGATATATATATATATATATATATATATACACACACAGACAGAGAGAGAGAGAGAAAGATGAATATTAAAGTCAATCCAGCTGTCTTTAATTCCAGAGTATGTCTCTGATGCATGAACCATAACCTTTGATCCTAGCTGAAATGTTGAATGATGCCTTCAAAAATATATTAAAATTCATTATAATGTAGATTACTAAAATATTCCCTTGGAATATGACTTTTTTAATAGAAGCACAAGAAATAAATTAGATATTAATTACATATTGCCCTCAGTTCTACAGAGTCATGAAGAAAACAAATTTGGACTGCTGCATAGCACAACTTCATAATGCTGCAGTTAGATTTTTCCCTTGTATTTACAGACTGGTTTATTTTAAAATCTATTCAAGCACTGGAAAATCATAAATATGCAGCTCCACAGATCTGGAGATCAGGTTTCTGTGACTGTAATACATGGCTTCTTTTGACAAAGCTCTCCAATTAAAGGTCAAACTCTGCTTGCTTTACATTTGATTTAGGATGGAAATACATGTGTGAGTGAAGGAGTGTGTTTTGTCACAGTATTTTATGGCTGCACACTGCTCCAAACATAAGCAAAATATGTACTGAGGTTCCAGTCTAAAAGGGACAGAATATGACAGTGTTTGGTTGGAACGTTTCTAAAAGGTGTAACAGCACATTAAAGGTTTCATAGGAAATACAACTAAAATATGCCTGATATACATCTGTTCTTCTCTCCTTACCAGAAATTCCAAAGGTTCATACCAACACAGTTGAAGCCTCATTTTCACTCCTCTATTAATATTACAAATTTTAAATAAAACAAGTCAACAGATACAACAGTTGGTATCAGTCTTAAACCCTTCAATTTTGCCAGTGTACCAACATGCAGTATTTTTGATTATGTAAATCTCAAGTTCTACTGATTGCTATACCAGTGAAAAGGAGCAGGATGTAAAAGTTTTAGCATGTACACTTTCCTCTCAAATCTGTCAGAGGGACACAGAGAATGGACTGCCCCAGTCATGTAACATCCTAAATCAATAGACATCTATTGATCTATGGGAACCACAGGCCTCTGATCTTACAACTAATCCTTCTTTAGCCCACTGTATTGAAGGAGTTGGTTGTGATACTTCAGGGTCTCTCCAGAAATGGCCACTTGGTTGAGATATTTTGAGAGAGAGAGATGGCACGGAACCAACAACCACAGGTGTGCATCTCAGCTTCTAGTAATTAGAGTAATATTTGTCACCTTATGTACTCTTTCTTAGACTGTAAAATACTGTCTTTGATCATAGATGCAATTAAGAATCATCTCTTTATTTTAAATCAAGGGGAGAGTATGATTGAGAAGTTGAGAAGTGAGCATCATCTTATCATCAATGCTCTATAACTTTGTTGTGATGGAACAGTAGAGTTGCCACTGGCATAGTCATTGACTTTTAAAGATTTTCTTTCCAGCAGTCAACCAAAGAACGATAACCTCCTGCTCCATCAAAAAAGCTGGAACACATAGCAGTGCTATGTTCAGGCCATGACTGAACATTTGAGCAGATAAAGTGGCACCATGTCATCACTGGCACGCTGCCAAAAGAGTTGTATGTGGTATCATAACCCCAGGAAAGAATTTCTGTATAGCTGGAAATTGCATGTGGAAAAGCAAAGGCAAAGTGAACTTTGCCTGTCTCTCACCCTTCTCTGCCAGATACTAACCAAACAAAAGGAATTTGAGAAGGAAATGCTCTTAGATCTTCAGTATTTGCCTAGATCCATAAATGTCTTGAGGTAACCGAGAGTAAAGTGTGTGAGATTTAGATATTATCTATCCAAAGTTCCTATATATGTATTCCATTCCCTTTAATTTCATTATGATATAATACCCTAAGAATTAATACCATGAATAGTTTCATTGTCATATAATCCCCTAAGAATTAATACCAAAAATAGTGATGGCAGAAAGAAAAAATTGGAGAGAAGCTTGGAATATCTCATCCCTTAAGGCTTGGGGCTCAAATGAGTCATATTGCCATGCCTCCTATGGCAAAGAAGGCTTTCATAGCTGAGAGGCAAGGCAAGAGCCTTGAAATTTATGTGCAGCAGTCTTGATGTCTGTCCAGACATAGATAGATGGAGGGCTTGGAAGGTGTTATTCCAAATAACACAGTCTTATGTCTATCCACTGTGGTTTTACACGGGGTTGTGACTTGTTTATCCTCTATTTTGTTGTCCCACCCTCTATTCAGGGCTGTTCAGAGAAGTTGCATAATAAAACATAAGAGTTGGTTTGGCTCCAGCTGGTCCTGGTGCCTGTTTTCTACTGTGGGGCTAATTTAGTTGTGGGGACAACATTTGGGACACAACAAGAGAGAAACTCGAAATAGCTCAGAGACTTTTGAAGAGGCAAACATTTTATTTACTAACAAGTTGCTACTGCAAATAAAAATTTTAGTACCTATGATAAGAATAATTTTATCTTTTTGCCAGGAAATTTGTAGCATGCTCCTTTGGCTCAAATAGACAGACTTTGTGTTTTGTAATAAGCTTTGCTTCATTGAAAACCAACTCTGTAAAAGTAGCAATATATAAAAGCAAACAAACCCTTCTTATTTTCCCTGTATGTATAGTCAGAATCCTATCTTCAAACGACCTTAAAGAGAGTTTTCGATGCTACTTTTTTATTCTTGTTAGTTCAGCATAGCCAACAGTAAAGGCCTTGTTGACATTAAGCAAATATGCAATGATGCAGCAAAATTAATTTAGTCACACTGATGCAAATCCCTCACACAGATGTAAAGCCTGTGTGCAAAGTAGGGCATTTCTGAATGTACACAATATTTAAAATTAAGTGAGAGATTCTGTTCTTCCCAACTGATTCCTTAATGTGATTCACATAGATACCCCTGAAACCCTAAGCTGAAAGAAAGGGACTTTCTGGTCAAAACTAAGGGTACATTAGGAGTACTGTTGATTGAGAAGGAATATCATGACCTTTAAATTGCAAGTTGCAGTAGCTTAACAGATATAATAACACTTTAAAAAACACTCTTTACATTAGACTGAGTATATTTGACCTTAAAATCACTAGGAAGAAATATGTCATTGCATTGCATAACTCCATTCTATGGTTACTTTTCAGAACAGAAGTGAAAAAGAATGCACTTTTGGTCCTGGACTGTTCTTTGTAATTTAATGTGATCTGCTGTCAACAAGAGGCAAAATAAACCTCTGACACTCGGTAAGAATAAGAACAGAACAAAACGTACCTTACTATGGGTATTCAGTCAAAGATCTATGGGCAAAAAATGGCACAGTTTGTGAAGGCGTAACTGAAAAACAGGTGGGGTCAGCAAGGGAGGTGTCTAGTAGGAATACTGGTAATGAGGTAATGACCATAATGACCATCTTCCTTTGTAAACTGAAGAGGTTTGGGGAATTTTATTTTTTTCTTAAATTAAAAATGCTTCAGAAAAATGTGAAGTGGAAGTAAAAGTTCTGGTAATTCAGTAAACGTCTTTTACATATTTTTTGGACAAAAAATTCTAAGTATTTCATGTTGCAGTATAAGTATTTCATGTTGCAGTATAGCCTTTATTTACTATACTGCAACATGAAATACTTAGATCAAAATCCAAACAAATTATTCGTATTAAAAGCATAGTTTTCAATCTAATCAGGCTATACTGCAACATGAAATACTTGGATCAAAATCCAAACAAATTATTCGTATTGAAAGCATAGTTTTTAATCTAATCAGACTATGTCCCAAAAATTTTCTTTATAAAATATTTTAAAATCCGAGAAACTTTCTCCTAATCTGAATGGAAGCATATTCTGTAACCTGGGAATCTTTTGTTAAAATCAAACTTTGATTCTCCTTGCAGCTAAAGTTTCACACTACAGAAGTGAAAAGATATCACCCGGGACTTCCTTTCCATTGTACATTCACCTACTACCATCGCTACTGATGCTGTAAGTGACTGTTAAAGCAACATTTTTTTTCCTCTTCCATTCTCCCTCAAAAAGTCCCTCTTCTGGAATGAAGTCAGGGCAGAACCTCATTCTAGTGGGCTGCAGTTTCCCAGTGGACCTGGGTGACTTGAGAAACACTGTTCTGTACATACATTAAGAGGAGTTTGCAGTGCTTCATTTTGTTCTACCAACAGCATTGATGCTAACAAGAACCCAAGTAGGAAACCCTCATAACATAAAGAGACGGGGCGAGGGAAGTGATTTAGGCAGGTAGGGAGCTAAGCAATCAGTTATTACTGAATTTCTAACTGTAGGCAACACAACTATACCCCCTACCTTATAGTTCCTGAGATTACTGAGCTTCATCAACAGAAGCTGTGGTCCCCACTGGATAATTCCCGAGTTCCTTGAAATGAGTCTAATACCCAATGAGGTTACTTGTGCTGCTGCAGAAAGATATTTCTGGCCTTTTACATGTCAGAAAAGAAACTGAATGTGACAGATTTGGAGCTGCCCTGTGATAATTTAGGAATATGGTCTGTTGGCCTGATTATTTGGTTGAATGTCTGGGTTTAACTCATCAGGGGTTAGCTTGCAACTGCACTCTTAAATTATCAGGGCTGGGCTGGGCTGTACTTGCTACACTGGGATGCCCCACTTCCACTGTGTTTGCACAGCCAGTGAGCACAGGGAATTGGAAGGGGCATGAGATTTAATTTTGAACCACAGCATCTCTGCATGGGCAGCCCTAGCATCCTACTCATCCCTAAAAAAATACATTTTGGAAGAAAATGGGTTTGTGAATACCACAGTCATTTTCAGCAGTTGTTATCAAACACTGGGCATTCAGAACCAGCATGTTTGGAATGTCCTGCCCAAGCCCAGAGAAACCATACCCTGATCTCATCAAACCTGTGCAGAAGACCTATTGTACCTTATCTCTCACTTTGTGTTCCCTGGACCCTTGCATTCTGTAAACCCGAATTCCCCCAAGATAAGATGGGTTTCCCCCTATGATGTAAGTGCTAAGACCCAAAATTTTGTAATTTAGGATTTCCCCTTTACCTCATCCCTGTAAAGTCCCTAATTGTAATAGTTCTGCCCCAGTGAATATGCAAGCCTCCTGTTGAATATGTAGACCCTAAGCCCTTTATATATGAACTTGTAAGTCCAATAAAGCATTCCAGTTTCTGCCCCCATAACTGGGATCGTGATAGCTTTATTGACCTCCACATGAGACCAATGGGAAACTGTGCAGAGGTGATGTGATTCCATAGTTTACAGTGGAGACATGTTGGGTGGAGAACTGGAAATATTACATGGCAGCTGGCCCACTCCAGCGTGCTAGACCCAGCCTCATCTGTGGTGAGCTTCCAGCTGAGGCCAGGCTGGTCAAGTGAATCTCTTTTCAATTGTGAAAGAAGAGTACCAGCGGTTATTTGCCAGATGCTTAAGAAATATTTTAGTTGGGTAAAGAGTACATATATAAGGACAGAAAAAAGGTCTCTAAGAAACCATTCCTCAATTTGGAAGAAGAGGTTTTCTGTGTGTGTGTCTGTATATGTTGCGTGAGTGAAGTACAAAAACCAGAATGTTGAAAATCCTAAGAAAATCACCCAAATCCGGTTTCTCTCACTCTCTCCTGAGTGAGAGGACAAGTAGTTTACTATAGCTTTATGGGTTCTTGATTGTGGAGTTCCAAAACACAACCTACAGGCCTGAGCCATATTCTAGATTAATTCCTAATTCAGTCAGCAGAGCTAGGGAAGCACCATGTTCATTTACTGCTTATTCCAGGGGTTTTGGCATGTAAAGTTCTCCTTCACTGTTGCTGGAAAGGCTAATATATTACATCTCCCTACCAGTGAATTCCCAATGCACTCATCTTTACTCCAGTGAACATCTTTTATATTTTATGGATTTCACTTAACAGGAAAAAAACCCATATATTAAGTTATCCATTTGTCAAAAGAAGCCAGACTAGTAAATACTGTATATTTTGGTACAGATCCTCTCAGTGATTGCTTTATGCTGCTGGTAGTAGAGTCTGGCCAAAAAGCTGCTACATCTACCTCTTGGATGACTGTAGTGGCAAAAGCATTTTTTAATGATACACATGGAGTGCTCAATCTCCTCGCCACTTCCTTCACTGTTGCCACATAAAGGTTAAACTGAGCTGTCCAGATCAAACTGCAAACTCCCATGGCTTTATTTTGGTCTAAAAAAAAAACTTTGGAAAGAGACTATTTAGTGTCACATTGCTGTTCTAGGAGGAGGAAACACTCATGCTGATGTTTAGAGGTAGTTTGGGAAGGGTTGCATTCTGTAGGGGCTGAATGACTGACTGCTACAAAATCTAGAAATACAGGGAGTAGACAAACTGAACCAGGGACAAAAGTAAGAAATCAAACCTAAGAAGTAAATTCTAAGTGCAAGGAGCTCCTACTACAAGCTCTCCATTGAGTTCTGCTGTGAAGTCAGCAGCCATTTCTTTCTGCAGCTGAAGTTTCTGAACGATAACTTTTTGTGGAGCATGTTGCAGGAATCTAGATTACAAATGGCATAGATCTAGACTGCAATCACAAAGTCTGTATCTAAACAGAAGGCAGAATATTCTGGAATTTGCTTTAATTGGGATGTCCAGAAGAAGCAGAAGGTGTACTAAAACTCATAAATTGTAAACAAAAACTGTTACTTGTGAGCGGCATAGGAAGCTTTGAAGTTCTGTGAGCATGGAAGAGGGAAGTAACCTCAGCTTCTGGATGTTCCCTGCATCTAGCCACCTTGATTTCCATGCTTTCTAAGCTGTCTATCAGCTTGTCACCGTCCTCATTCTTTCTTCATTGGTTTGACTCATCCCAGTGAAACACTGGAGAACCCAACAAGTCATCTTTTGTCAGAAACTAAACAAAATCATCAGCTGTTTCCAGACTTTAGAGAGTAAAGCCCCATGGCAGGTTTGTCTACATGACCTTTTACAAGCAGCCCCAAGTCAGCTCTGCCCAGGGTCCCTGATGGCCAGACACGGTGTAGCTGTGGCCTAAAAGCAGTGCACCCCTGTGAGTGCAGCTCACCATGTGAGTGCAACGTGGTGAAGGGTGCAGCTTTTTTCAGTGTCATCTAAACAATGCAGTTACATTTAAAAGGTTTTTCCCTCACTCCCTTGTCTTCATGTACTAACAACTGGTTATCTCAGGGTGGTTATTTCTGTTCCTCCATACCCCTTTTGCTCCTGTCCTGAGTACTCCTAATATATGCCACCACTAACAGGAAGGCTCTACATTCAAATTCAAATTATGCAAGTTCAAACATTTATTTTAAATCAGATGCCGTTCAGATACTATGCGACTACAGATTTTACAGCGCAGTTTGAGTGAGCTTTGCAAACATCCCAAGCAAACAAACTTTTGAGGAACCATAATCCTATTATTTTATTAATCTTTAGGATACTGGCTCACCGGGATCATCATTTGCAACAGAGCATGTTTGGCTCCTTCTCAGGTGATCTTTGTATTGCTGTTTTCCTGTGTTGACACCTATTGGAGAAACGGTTTATACTAGTTTCAGAAACCATCTCATTTGATGATCTTATGACTTGCTATTATCCTTCACAAATGTGTTACTTACTGTACTTCCGCAGTTTCCATCTATTAAAACTAATCAAACATGCTTCATTTACTGCCTGTTTCCCCACATACCCTTTCTAATGGTGTTTTTGACACTTTTTTGCCTTAGAGAACCTGTAGTATCCTCCTTAGCTTTAATTCTGGAACCCGTTTCATCATTCACACTTGCATGTTCTCAGCATGTTAGCTCCTGTCACAAGGAATTGTTAGTACATGATCATAAGGTGTTGGATATCCCAACCAGTGTGTGTGGGATCAGAGAAGAGAGGACAACAGGGTGTTATCCTACCACTTGGTGAATCTTAGCAAAGGGAAAGAGGCAGCTGGGCTGAGAGGAAGAAGCTATGCTTCAGGAGACTCCTTCTGGTGGCATTTTTTCCCTACTGTGTAGGCAGATCAGGGGTTGAGAATGCATGGCATGTCTCTTCCATTGATATTCTTAAGCAGGGAATGACATTTATCTCTTTGTAATTCCTCATTGTAAAGCTAAATCTGCTCCCCTACCCCAAAACAACCTGTAGTATTGTTCTCCTGTTATCATGATAAATTATGGATGTGAGACATGCTGAATCATGACAATGCTCCTTGTGCTGAAGAAATTCCTCTTTTGTCATGTACAGCTTTTTTATAGTCCTATTTATTGTGGGACCAATGTTAGAGTCCTGATGGGGCTGCAAGGAAGCAGGAAGTGCACTAGCTGCTCTGGGATTTTAAGCATAGACATCTTGAATATTCTGAGGAGTTTGTATGTTTATGATTGACCAGCAACCAATGTGTAAGCAGGGCTTTGTGTCTGCATGCATACTTCATAAATCACAGAATCTGTTTGGTTTGGAAGGGACGTTAAAGATTGTCTGCTTCCACCCGGCTCTGCCATGAGCAGGGACACCTTCCAATAAACTAGGTTGCTCAAAGCCCCATCCAACCCGGCTTTGAACACTTCCAGGGATGGGGCATCCACAGCTTTGCTGGGCAGCCTGTTCCAGTGCTTCACCATCCTTTGATTCAATAAAATGTTGTGTCCAAACCAGAACTGTACTTCTCCATTGTACCTTTTTAATTGTACCGATCACCAATTAGCTTCAGTCAGGTAACGTGGCTGCATGTGGTGGTATAGCTGTGATCCCCCAAATCGAACACAGGCCAAAACTTATAGACACCCATCCACACAGAATGTGGAGAAGGGTGACCTCTTTAACGCCCTGCCCAGGGGACAAATGCCTATCACAGAATGGGTGAGGTTGGAAGGGACCACAGTGGGTCATCTGGTCCAACCTCCCAGCTCAAGCAGGGTCATCCCACAGCACATGGCACAGGATTGCATCCAAATGGTTCTTGAG